TGCAGATATGATTAGCGAACTCAGGCAGACTGCTGATCTCACTCTTCGTGCCACCAGAGAGACCGCAAAATCTATCGGTCGATCTATGGCAGCCATGGTGGCCACAGAAAGGCAATTATGGTTGAGTCAGACCTCTATGAAAGAAAAAGACAAGACTCTCCTTTTAAATGCTCCCGTTTCGCCTGCGGGCCTCTTTGGTGACGCTCTTCACTCTGTCAGGGAGAGGTTCCAGGAAGAGAAAAAAAGGCGGCTGCCTTTCATAAGTTTATCCCTCTAAAAGTGCGTGTCACTGGGGCTGCTGAACGAGGGCAGTCCCAGCCGTCGAGTTCGTCTTCCAAAAGAGCACAGCAGAAGCGGAGTGTCGCGTCTCGTGCTCCCCCGCAGAGAAACTGAAGGGACGAGGCGGGGCGCTCTCCGGCGCGGCCTTCTCGGGGCAGGACTGATCTGAGGACAGTCATTGACGCCAGGAAGGCCGCGTCGAAAAAGTCCTGACGGGCTGAACGTCAGGACTCTGAGGGTGGTCCCCATCGGGAAAGACTTGAGTTCACCGCACAAAAACACGGTGCCCTGTCTTTCTCGATGCCCTCAGGGGTCTGTTCTACTAACCCTGCCTATACAGGGCGTAGAGAGACTCGGCGAGCGATTTCCCGAGGGACGCTCGCCCCCTCCGAGGAGGGCTGTGGAGTGCTCAGACCAGCTTTTTCCTGCCAGTATGTTACAGGGTGCTGTGTCTGTCACTCGGGATGTTCATCCAGAGGCCAGCCTCGAGAGGCTGGTTCCCTTAGTAGAGTTCCTGGCGGTATGGGAAATGCTTCCCAATGTTTCTCAGTGGGTCCTGAATATTATAAAGAACGGGTACGCTATTCAGTTCAGAACGCGTCCACCTCGGTTCAGAGGGGTTCTGCCTACTGTGGTGGGCCCCGAGCAGGCTCTGGTATTACAACAGGAGGTAAAAACTCTGCTGCAAAAAGGGGCTATAGAACGGGTTCCTCTACCCAGCAGGGAGTTAGGATACTACAGCCGGTACTTCATCGTTCCGAAAAAAGATGGAGGGCTGCGTCCCATTCTAGATCTGCGTCTCTTAAATCGCACTGTAGGGAAGCTCAAATTCAAAATGCTCACTCTCAAGCAGATCGTGTCACAAATCAGATCCGAGGACTGGTTTGTCACGATAGATCTAAAGGACGCTTCCATGTGTCTATCCTCCCTCAACACAGGAAGTTCCTGAAGTTCGCTTTCGGGGGCGAAGCGTACCAATATCGGGTTCTTCCGTTTGGCCTAGCACTGTCACCCCGCACGTTCACGAAGTGTATGGATGCAGCTATAGCTCCGCTCAGGCTGCAGGGCATCCGTATTCTGAACTATATAGACGATTGGTTAATTCTAGCTCAATCGGAACAACAGGCGGTTCGGCATCGAGATGTTGTTCTTGCTCACATCAAGAGATTGGGGTTGAGGCTCAACGCCAAGAAGAGTGTTCTTTCTCCATTACAGAGAACCACTTTTCTCGGTGTAGTGTGGGATTCGACGACGATGCAGGCACGATTGTCACCTGCTCGTGTTGCTTCGATTCTCGCCGCAGTAGATCAGGTCAAGCTAGGCCAGTCATCCACTGTAAAACAGTTCCAGAGACTGTTAGGTCTCATGGCAGCTGCGTCCAACGTGATACCTTTTGGCCTCCTGCACATGAGACCGTTACAGTGGTGGCTCAGAACCAAGGGATTCTCCCCGAGGGGAAATCCATTTCGCATGATCGTGAGTTCGCGACGGTGTCATCGCGCCCTGGTTATGTGGAAAGATCCTTGTTTTCTGTCCCAAGGCCCTGTGTTGGGAGCTCCTTGTCGTCGCGTTATGCTAACGACAGATGCCTCTCTCACGAGTTGGGGAGCGATCATGAGTGGTCGCCCAGCTCGGGGTCTGTGGAAGGACCATCACCGTCTATGGCACATAAATTGTCTAGAGATGTTGGCAGTGTTTCAGGCTCTGAAACACTTCCTCCCAGACCTAAGAGGCCACCATGTTCTTGTCCGAACAGACAACACATCGGTGGTCTCTTATATCAACCATCAGGGGGGTCTGCGTTCTCGCCCACTTTACAAACTGGCACGTCAGATTCTCCTATGGTCCCAGGGGAGAATTCTTTTTCTGAGAGCTATTTATCTCCCGGGGTGTTTAAATCAGGGGGCAGACATCCTGTCAAGACAGGGGCCGAGGCCCGGGGAATGGAGTCTTCACCCCGAGGTGGTGGAGCTCCTATGGGAACATTTCGATCGTGCCGAGGTAGACCTATTTGCTTCCCGAGAAACATCACACTGTCCTCTGTGGTTCTCTCTCAGCCCTCCAGCCCCGCTGGGGTTGGATGCGATGGTACATCCGTGGCCGAGGTCACGTCTGTACGCATTTCCTCCGATAGCTCTGCTCCCGGGAGTTCTGGAGAGGGTTCGCCGGGACGGGCTCAGTCTTCTGCTAATTGCCCCGTTCTGGCCGGCTCAAGTATGGTTTGCGGACCTAGTGTCTCTCCTCGACGGCTCTCCCCTGGAGATACCGATCAGGAGAGACCCACTCTCTCAGGCGAACGGGTCGATCCTTCACCCCCGCCAAGAACTATGGAGGCTGTGGGCTTGGCCTCTGAGGGGGCCCAGCTCATAGATTCTGGTCTCTCGACTGAGGTCGTTGAGACCATCCTCCAATCCAGAGCTCCCGCCACGAGGAAGTTATATGCTGCGAGGTGGAAACTTTTCACCTCTTGGTGTGGAGAGCGCCAGCAGGACCCAGTTAACTCCCCAGTAGGTACAGTGCTGGATTTCCTGCAGGACCGTCTCTCCACTGTGTTATCCCACTCCACACTGAAGGTGTACGTGGCGGCCTTAGCTGCTTACCACGCCCCTTCAAGTGGAGGTTCCCTCGGGAGACACCCACTGATATCTCGCTTCCTTCATGGCACCTTGAGGCTGAGGCCTGCAGTTCGCACGAGGGTACCATCTTGGGATCTGGCCATTGTCTTAGAGGGTCTCTCCCTAGCTCCTTTCGAGCCCATCGAGGAAGTTTCGGAAAAGTTTCTTACACTTAAGACTATCCTTCTTCTCGCTATCTCGTCTCTAAAAAGAATTGGAGATATTCAAGCACTTTCGGTGGCTCCCTCATGCCTGGAATTTGCTCCTGGTATGGTTAAGGCTTTTCTCTGTCCGAGACCAGGGTATGTTCCTAAGGTACCAACCACTTCTGTTAGACCTATAGTACTGCAGGCCTTCTGTCCTCCGCCTTTTTTGATGTCAGACCAGGAGAAACTTAATTTGCTGTGTCCCGTTAGGGCTTTAGATGCGTATGTCCACAGAGCTGCCCTGTGGAGGAAATCGGAAAAATTGTTCGCCTGTTGGGTCACCTAAGAAGGGGTGTCTGGCATCTAAGCAAAGTATGAGCAAGTGGGTGGTCGAGGCCATCTCACTTGCTTACGTTTCGGCCGGTCAGCCTTCACCTTTGGCTGTAAGGGCCCATTCTACCAGGAGTATGGCTGCCTCTAGAGCTCTTCTTTCAGGGGCTTCTCTTCAGGACGTGTGTGATGCGGCAGGCTGGTCCTCACCGCACACTTTCGTCAGGTTTTATTCTCTTGATTTTAGCTCCACTCCCGGGGCTCAGGTTCTCTCTTCGGCTTGTGTCTCCTAATCACACACGACGGGGACTTGTTTGTATGGGGATGTGGGTATTGCGTTCCCACTGCGATTACACGCAGCGGTAGTCCCTGAAGGGGAACATCCCGGGTTACGTATGTAACCCTAGTTCCCCGAAGGGATGGATGCTGCATGTCCTGCCATACTCCCGGCATCCCCTTGGGTCGCTTGCTTCAGTAACATTAGAAGCTGGCGGCTTGTGTATTCAGGGGATATTTATAGCTTCCTGGTCGATGACGTCACTTTCTGTGACGCTCCATCTCTCCATTGACTGATTTCATTCATGTATCAGACGCGTTACGCTGGGGGACGTTCCCACTGCGATTACACGCAGCGTCCATCCCTTCGGGGAACTAGGGTTACATACGTAACCCGGGACGTTCACTTTCTACATGAACTAGTTCAAAGTTCAGTTCACAAATTTTAAAATGAACTAGTTCAGTTCATAGTTCATACTTCACAATTTTGAACTAAGTTCACAAGTTCCAAAAATGAATAGTTCATAGTTCTTTTTTTTCCATATATTGCTGCGAGCTATTTTTTATTATTATTGCCACAGCCCATATACAACCACAGACAGCAAATTATTTTATCGGCGGGCAAAGTTTGCACAGAAATGTACGATTTTTCCCATCCTCACCGACCGTGTCATAAAACTCCTTTAAATGATCATACGACGCCTCCTCGCTGCTTTGTCGACTACACGCTGCTTTTTGTTTTGATGGCGCATGCGGCGGTGCGTGCGACACTGGTGGCTGGTGTTACCAGATTGGGTGTTTTTTTCACTACATATTAAGGCCTGTTTACGTGTGTTTTAGCCGGGTTTTCGCCTGGAAGGCTCTATAGAAATCTGGCACCCTATTGAACGAAGTTAAACTAAGAGAGCGTGCGTTCACAGACACCAGAATGAACGAGTTCACAGTAACGTTCATCAGGCAGTAATACAGTACGTTCAGTTCATGTTCGCCCAAAATATGAACGAGTTCATGAACTATTGTTCAATGAACACGTTCAGGCACAACACTGCAGCAATTTCGTGTGTGGTCAAAAATGTCACTATGGGACCAAGTTGGTCACTGGAATTCGCTGGATTTGACCAAAAGAAAGCTGCTTGAAAGTGACTCCTGTGTGAGCTGTGCTTCATACATTACGTCGCTACACTGCTGACAATGGTCAATGTACTTTTTTGCCTGTGTAATTTCACGAATTTCACAAATGTGGCCGCACCTTTACTCGCTGCAACATAAAATGCAATCGATAATAAAATCTTCACAAGGGACATGAGAGGTACTTAACGAGTAAAAGAAAAGTAAAAATATGCAGCAGCTTAATTTTCCGTTTGTTTTTCCTCTTTCTTGGTGAATGGTCCAGGCACTTCAATGATTTTCAGGTCTACAGGAGGATTTTTATTCTTGTTCAAACTTGTATTTCAGCTTACCGAGGTCCCTGCAAAGAACCAAAATTACTATTAGCAATGTTATTAAAGTGATAGTTGTGAACTTAAAATAATTTCCTTAGCCTTGTAACATTCCTAACCTGTTTGACTTTCTGTCTGTGGAACCCAAAAGCAGATCTCGGGCATAATGCAACCCCAGTCATCATTCAATTTCACTACATGAGACAAGCGGAAAAAAATTGTGTAAATCATTAATGAAACCATTCTTATGTACACTTGTCTAGATCAATTCAATGCAACAATTTATGTAAAAATGGTTATTAATGGTTATTATAATGGTATTCTGTTAAGCTCCAAAAATGTCCCAGAAAAGTTTTCTGAGTAACATGAATGAGATTTGAGAGCATCAAGGAAGATTTTCAGAGAATAACTGATAAAAAAGTTCATAGTAATAAAGTACTTGCATGTGGTGCAGGTAACCTACTGTAATTCAATGTTGCCTCTGAAATGTTCAGATGATTTTAGAAATGCAGTGGTTGTTCTGGGGAAACAAAAGAACAAAGCTGATTATATCCATTCACAACATAATATTTATAGGCCAGAAAAGGGCTTTAAAATGGTTTTTGAAAGAATCAGGGTACCTGTAGTAAATACGTTAAACAAAAACAGACGAAACTAACGTTAACTAATAGGCCTATCCACTTGTGTTATTCATAACAAAAGCCAATGACAACAGTAGGAATCAGCTATTAATTAGTTATTGTCACGGGTGACAAAATCGCTCGGCAAGCGGAACCCCCTTGAGAGTCCTAAGTTTCCCAGGGGAAGGTATTGTGTGCAACACGCCCCACTCCGGTGATGTAAACATGCCCGCACTGATTAGCGCTAATGCATTGCAGGTGTGAGAGAGAGAGAAGCGGCGCTCACACAGGCTTCCTGTTACGCAAGCCAGGATAAAAAGGGACCATTCAGAGAGTGTTGGTCGTTGATGTTCAGTGGGGTGGTTGATGTTCAGTGGGTTCGCGTTGCTCAGTGAGTTGGAAGTGTTGAAGAGCCTAAAGGGTTGACTTGGAGCAGTGTTGGATACAAGCTTCCTCAGGAAAACCGTTGTGGTGTGGAGATCGCCCAGTTGAGTTTGCTGGATCAGAGTGATCGTTTGTGGGAAGTCTGCTGGACTGAGCTATCGTCTGGATTGGTGCTGTGGAAGGAGAGAGAAGAGATAAGTGAACTGATTTCATCTTATGAGCGTTCAAATTGCTGGAAGAGGATGCAGTAAATGTGGATCTGATTGTCGGAAGAGCTATGTGTTTCAGAGTGTGTTGAGGAGGAATTGAGAGAGAAATCCCTCGTGGAGCGAGCGCAACAACCGGAGTGGGGCCTCTGACCAGCCTTAATGTGTGAGTGAATTGCAGTGCTTTTGCCTTATTGATACACATTGATTTGTGGCTGTGGAATTGAAGTGAACACAAGTGTGCTGTGCCTTTGCTGAGAAGTGGCCCTAGCCCCATTTACACGTTTGTGGAAAGTTACTATATCTGCTCCCCATTGGAAGTCCTGTGTGATACAGCTGCACTGAAGAGGGTACTCTGTACTGTGAAGGTCCTTAATCGTTATTTACTGTTTTGAGCCCAGAAACCTACTGCATCACTGGAGAAACGATCTTTTAACCCACTGTCTCCTTACTGTGAACTGAAGAGAGTACATTGTACTGTGAAGATTTTTACCCGTTCTACTTACTGTTTGAGCCCAGAAGCCTACAGCATCACTGGTAACCTACCATTTTAATTCATTGTCTTCCTGCTGTGTACCGAAGAGAGTACGTTGTACTGCGAAGATCCTTACCTGCTCTACTTACTGTTGAGTCCAGAAGTACACTGCATCATTTGGGAAGCAACCTTTTAATTCACTGTCTCCTTACTGCGAGCTGAAGAGAGTACTGTGTACTGTGAGGAGCCTTACCTGTTCTACTTACTGTCCGAGTCCAGAGGTATACAGCATCACTGGTAAAGTACCCTGTTTAATCCATTGTCTTCCTGCTGTACATTAAAGAGAGTATATTGTATTGTGAAGATCCTCACCTGTTCTACTTACCGTTTGAGTCCAGAAGGACGCAGCATCATGGGCGAAGCAAACCTTTAACTCACTGTCTTCCTCCTGTGGACCGAAGAGTACCGTGCGCTGTGAAGAGTCCTTACCTGCTATACTTATTGCCCGAGTTCGGAAGTCGGCAGCACTGCTGGGAAAAAGTAAGCTTTCAAACCATTGTTCCATTACGGTGTGCCGATGAGAGTTCTCGGTACTGTGAATATCCTTACCTGTTCTACTTACTGTTTGAGTCCAGAAGCATGCAGCATCGCTGGTGAAGCCGTCTAGTGATTCGCTGGCTCGCCCCCCTGTGAACGGAGTCCCCAAATTGCCGCCCAGGGGACACCGTGACAGTTGCAACACGCCCGCCCGGGACAGAAGGATATCTAGAGGACAGTGAAGGCTATCCAATTGATGCCCCTTGTTTTATCGTTCAATAAAGATTGTTCCTCCTTTGAAACTTACCTGTGTCTCCGTAGTCCTCTGTTGTGTGCCTGTGGTGTCGGCTCCCCACGGTGGTGGCTCAGTAAGAGAGGGGGGGTGGTTGGTCATCCGAGCATTCCTCCCCTCGACCTGTGTGACATCAAGTGGCGTAGTCGGCAGGGTTCACACCGTGAGTTGTAGCGGCCACAGGTACGCGATGGCGGACGAAGAGGCACCCGCGGCTCGTCCACAAGTCATGCCGATCTTCATGGGAGCTCCTTGGGCGCAGCGCTATGGAGGACCGGGGTCGGAGTTAAGTTTGCAGGATTGGAGGGCGCAGACGGAGTACCTGGCTGGACTACAGGGATTGAGTGCCGCGCAGAGAGTACAGTTTGTGTTGGGGTCGTTGGAAGGAGAAGCCAAAAGGGAAGTACTGGCTGCACCGGAAGCCGCACGGGCTACTGCGAAAACTATCTTTGATTTCTTGTTTGGATTGTATGGAGACTCTACCCCAGTGGCCACTCTTCGTGCCCAGTTCTTCAACTATCAACAAGGACCTACGCAGACACTTCGGGCATACTCCTTGAAGTTACGGGAGCAGTTTGGCCGGCTGAAGGGGCGACCGGATCATGGACTGGGTGAAGGGGATGCCTTGCTACGAGACCAATTCATCTTGGGGCTGCGTGAAGGGCCGGTGCGCCAGGGCATACGACTCCAGCTTCGACGAGACCCCACTATGACCTTTGAGGCTCTGCGACAAGAGGCCTTGGCGTTGGAAATGGACCAGGGAGAGGTAACTCGTACCCCAGTTTGTGTGGCAGCAAGTAGTGCTAGTGGACCTGCTCCTGTCGAACCGGACGATTGGAAGCAGAAACTGAGGACCGAGCTGCTAGAGGATGTCAAGGGACAGATGGCGGAATTATCGCGGAACCTGCTGGGTGAACTTCGTCGAGGACGAGTCGAGGGCGGAGCAGTGGTGAGAGGGAGGTCGTATTCAGAGGAGGGGCGAGGCCCTGTGCGCCGCCCCCTACGTCCTGTGGGCCCCCGGTTCCAGTGGGATGATCAAGGAAGGCCCATCTGTATCAATTGTGGAGATCCGGGACATACCAGCCGCCAGTGTGGGCTTCGCCGGGGTTCTCAAGGGGGTTTTTAGTCCCACCGGCCACTGTGGGTCAAGTGGCCGGGACCCCTGTGTGTGACCCTCCTTTTCCTGCTGCACGAGATAACTGGGTGGGACATTGCCCCACCGTGGAGGTTCAAGCTAATGGAGTCACGATAGACTGTCTGGTTGATACAGGGTCTCAAGTTACGTTATTCTCAGAGAGCCTGGCCCAGGAGTTGTTCGCAGATCATCGGCTCCAAGCAACAGAAGCTTCCAAGCTGACCTTACGGGGGGCTAATGGTCTGGACATCCCTTATACTGGGTACATCGTGGTAGACTTTCTTGTCCGAGGGGTCCCCGTCCCACAAAAAGGGGTAGTTATCGTCCGAGATCATTGCTTGGGCGTTCATCGAGCACTGTTAGGGATGAACGTCATACTGGATTGCTGGGAAGAATTGTTTCGGGACCGGCCGGCTCGGACGTCTCCGTCACCGGCGAAACAGGACTGGGACCGAATTCTGGCCGATTGCCGAAGAGTGCACACAGCTAATCACATGGAGATAAGGGAAGACGTCGGTCGAGTTACCTGTCGGTACGCTCTGTCTATCCCAGCCCAGAGTGAGACCGTTCTTTGGGTCCGTGTACCCGCGGGACCCCGTGAGGCAGGTACCTGTGTCCTGGTAGAGCCTCATGAAGATTGTCAGCCAGTTGAAGTGGCTCACGGGCTGGCGGTTGTTCGCCGTGGGCGAGTCGCAGTCAAAGTACGGAATACAAATCCTTACCCTGTGCTCCTTCATCGACACCAACGTCTGGCCCGAGTTTCCTCAGTACGTCCTGTCCAGGTGCATGAGCACCAAGACGTCTGCTTCAGACAGGTGAGCCCTGCGGTGGTGGAAGTTGCTGTCCGTCCCGTCGAGGTAGAACTGGGTTCGGTTGGAAGAGGAGTGCCGGCCCATTTGATGGGAGAGTCCCTGAAGGGTGAGAACCTGGAAGAGGAACAAGTGGTACAGCTTCAGGAGCTGCTGAAGAAGTGGCAACATGTGTTTTCAACACACGAAGAGGATTATGGCTGCACAGGGGTGGTGAAGCATCAAATACCCACTGGTGGGGCGACACCTAGTCGGGAGCGCTACCGTCCGGTGCCTCCCACTCTTTATACCGAGGTCCGCACCCTGTTGAAAGGGATGCTGGAGGGAGGAATCATCCGAGAAAGCAGTAGTCCGTGGGCTGCGCCCATCGTTCTGGTGCAAAAGAAGACGGGAGCTTTGAGGTTCTGTGTTGACTATCGCAAACTCAACAGCGTAACGAAGAAAGATGCATTTCCATTGCCACGGATTGAGGACTCGCTCACCAGTCTCACCCAAGCGGCGTGGTATTCAACATTGGACCTGGCGAGTGGATACTGGCAGGTGCAGGTGGACGACCGAGATAGGGAGAAGACAGCTTTCACCACCCCGTTTGGGTTATTTGAATGGGACCGTATGCCATTCGGTCTGTGCAATGCTCCTGCGACCTTTCAACGCCTGATGCAGCGCTGCCTAGGAGGACAATTAGTCGACTCAACGCTGGTCTACCTAGACGATGTGATCGTTTTCTCCCCTGATTTCCGCACCCATCTGCATCACCTGGAGGAAGTGTTCAGGGCCATGGAGAGATATGGGCTGAAGCTTAGGCCAGACAAGTGCCAGTTGCTGCGGAAGGAGGTGCAGTTCTTGGGACATCGCGTCAGTGCTGCAGGGATCTCCCCTGACCCGGAGAAGGTGGCGGCGGTCCAAGGATGGGAGCCACCCCGGACAGTGAGACAGGTGCGGTCATTCCTGGGGTTCGTGGGATATTATCGGCGCTTCATAAAGGGATTCTCTGGGCTTGCGAAGCCATTGAACCAACTCTTGGCTGGTACTGGACGTGCCCGTGGTAAAGGCTCCCCCTCAGTACACTGGGATTCCACCTGTGAGGCCGCCTTCCAGAACCTTAAGCAGGAACTTCTGAAGGCCCCTATCTTAGCCTATG